ACCATGCGTTTCTGTTCTCTGCCGCCTCGCTACCACTTCCAGCCTCCGCTTGCTATCCCTCTGTCCAAACAAGAGGGCGGGTGAAAAGCATGATGTCGTGACACACTAAGGATATTTTAAAAGTGCAAAGTGTTGCTGCAAACTATTTGGCAAAAAATGAGGCAGAGGATAAGAAGAGTGTTAAGTGAATAATTTGTACTTGCTGTATAACACAACATAAGCAGATCACAAACCGATCATACTCCTAAAAACTTCCTATAAAGCTTAGTCAGTACCTGATTTTAAATGTAAATATCTCCTGTATCATAATTTTTCTATTTTCTAAAGGAATGTTATAGTGAACCCTCCTTTCCACCAGCTCCAAGACAAATGTTTTTGTTTTTTTTTAAAGTGCCGATTAGCTAAAACTACTGTGATATTATTTCACAACATGTGTAAACTGAACGATCATGCTTTATATGCCTTAAACTTATACAGTGATATATGTCAATGATTATTCAATAAAAATGAAAAAAAGCACTGCTTATGTCACCGGAAAGTCAGTGGGTTATACCACTGACACTGTTTTACTTCTGAAATCATATTTATTAATATAGCCCTTAAGTGATATGCACCATGGGATTTACTTATACTATTTATAGTCTGTGTCTTTCTTTAAGCAAAAAGATTTTTTAAATAAAGATTTTGATGGAAATTATGAGTCCAGGTAAGAAAGGATGGTGGGAAGTAGGGTCTAGTTTAGTCTCAGACATTTAATAATGAGTCCAAAACAATAGCTTTTTAAAGCCTAAATGCTACACTAGATAAAAACACTAAAACTTTTGGGAAATATATGAATATAGTCTATTATATATAAATTTATTTTACTTGACAATTTAAATCATGATTATTCAATAATTGTTCATTTGTATTTATCGAACCTTTTAATGGAGAATAATGTTCCTTGTAATACTATTCTTGAAATGTACGCTTTGGGAATGCCTTAAAATTAGTTATAATAATAATAAAAAACTCAAGTATTTCCGCTTTTGATTAGACTTATGTTCAACTTTATACTAAAACATAATCCACTGTCAGAGTCCTAGAGAGAGAATCTAGTATTTAATTAGGTCAATATAGTAGAAAAATCTGCCGGTTCATAAGCTAGTCTAATAGCCAACTGAATGTTGTCTAACAAGAAAAAGCCACCTCTGGACAGGCAGATAGCAACTTACTCCTCCAATTCTTCAGGGCCCCTTGAAATAAGATATTCACGAGGAAGCCAAGACATGTATTAGATCGGAGGTGGCTTCCTACAACATATCAACCATGGAGACAAAACTGAAATGTTTATTCAACCACCTCTGAATTTCCAAATCCCAGCTAAGCTTAGAATGGTCAAAATGAAAAATTTTTAAAGTTTTAACCTAAATACTGAAATGGGAGTAACTATGACACAGTGACAATTCAGGTGTATGTTTTTAAGACAAGAGAAAACACAAACAAGAATTAGCAACGCCAACTCACACGTCTCTGCCACGTCGAGCTTCATCCTGTTCCTTGGATTGGCGACGTCGCTGCCTGGCGGATGCAGTGGAAGGAGCTGGGGATGTGCCAGGTTCTGAGTCCTCTGGGCTTTGGCCTCCGGAGCTGTTAACATCAAAAAGATGCTGCTCTACAGCCGACCGGATGGTTCTTTCTAAGAGTCTGGTTGAAAAAAAAAAAGAATACAGAGTGACTCAAGCAATCAAGATTACCAATGACTGCCTTTAAAAATATGTGCTGAGCCTGGCCGGGCGCGGCTCAGCGGTTGAGCACTGACCTAGGATCTAGGAGATCACGGTTCGATTCCCGGTCAGGGCACGTGCCCGGGTTGCGGGCTCGATCCCCAGTCGGGGGCATGCAGGAGGCAGCTGATCCATGACTCTCTCATCATTGATGTTTCTGTCTCTCTCTCTCTCCCTCTCCTTTCCTCTTTCTGAAATCAATAAAGATATATTTAAAAAAAAAAAAGAGTAGTTAAAAAAAAAAAGTGCTCATAAATATGAAAATATTGGTGTTCCAATGAGAGGTCTACTACAACTTCATGATCAAAGACAGTGTGTGAAGCATTCATCTCCAGAATATTTGCACTGTGTGTTAGAAGCTAAACTGAACAAATTCCTCCAGTCTGATAACTGCGTCTCTCCTTTTTGAGAGCCCAGAATTACTGAAATGCCCACAGTAAGTCTAGCAACAGAGGCCTTCAGGAAATAAGGGTCATTAATATACGGAAGAATGAGGAAAGGTTTTTTTCTCCTAGAATTATAATGGACCTATTCTTACAAGGGTGAGTTTCTTCCAGATTTCATACCAGTTTTGCAGAGGGGAGAGTACGATTTACAAAGCAAACTGGCACGAATAATTTTATGATGCCTATTATTTATTTAAAATTCCTTTAAGATAAAGTATATAGGGAGCAATGCTATTAAAAAAAGAATGCCTCACCATGACAGTCCTCATAACAGAATGGCAAAATCTTTCTGAACCGATTGTATACAATTAAAGCTGTATTCATACAAACACCCCAGGATACATTACTGAAGATGGAGGAATAGATTTATTTTGTTCACTCTGAGAAAAATAGTGAAGCACAGGGGCTGAAAAGAGCTCATGATAAGATAAGGTATCATTTTAAAAGCTACATAATCTTTCAGTGTGTCTAAACTTTTCACCATCATGCTAATTCTGAATAAGGTGACATAAAAAACTCTAATCTTATGCTCCTCAGAACATGTTTTCCTTACCTGAAAAAAAAATCACATCCAGTCATCAAACTGTACACACATTCAATATGTGTAGTTTTTATATATCAACTATCTCTCAATAAAGCTCTTAAAATTAAAAAAGAACCTCATATATATTTTTTAAATGTTCAGATTGATAAATACATTTGTTCTAATAAAATGGATTTTGAAAAATTTAAGAACTTTAGATTTTCCAAGCATAGTTTTATAATAGGCTCATAGTAATTTCATTAAAATGATTTGAAGACAATGAGAGGGTATAGTCTAATTTGGGCACTAGAGCTTTAATATTTAGAACTCCATGTCCCAACGATTCAAGATCACCTAATAGCAGTACATAGGAATGTGAGTACATTCATATATGCATATAGACCAACCCCACATCTTTTCCAAACTGTGCAAGACATAAAAGAAGTAAAGGTTACCAGGAAACAGGCAAGAACATGTCAATTTTACTATAATTCTGGAATCTCTTTCAAATTCACAAAGGTAAGAGTGGTCAATCCTGCACTCTAATTGCTTCCTCACTTAACAAAAAAGAAAAAAAATTCCAAGTTGATCCTATTAGATCCAAATTCATACCAATTAGTGCTTCTTCTAATTCTTCTCTCTTCCTCCTTATCACATCCCATCTTCCTCTCTTCCTCCATGTGATCCCTGCTGATGAAAGATGCTCCAGAAAAGCCCACCCATGTCCCAGCAAGGAAGAAAGAGAGGTGGGTGCAAGGAGGAATCTTTGGGCAAGGGACTATTTACACATATTTAGTGGTTAATATATGCCAGGCATTTTTCTAGGTGTTAGGAATATAGCCACGAAGATGACAGAATACATACATTACTATGAGGTGAGACAGATAAACAGATCATGAAATTTCAGAGAGTGATAAATTTTCTACAAAATAGAGAACAGGATTGGAGAGTGACTGTGGGTAGTCAGGGATGACTTCTTGAATAGGATGACATTTGAAGAAAGAGGTGAATGATAAGAAAGTGCATGGCCAGGCTGAGGAAGAGCCAGTGCAAGGGCCCTGAGGCAGCTATGCGCTTGGCCTATTCCAGAAACAAAAGGTCATGTGCTTGAGGCATAATGGCCAATGTGGCTGGACAGGTAGGCAAGGGCAGATGACTGGAGTTTAGACTGTAGTCAAAGTGCAACTGGCAGCCTCAGGAGGAAAAAGACATGGGAGGGACAAAATTAACGGCACTGCCACTGCCCTGTGGGAAAGAGATGTGTTGCCATCACTAATTTGCTTTCTTTTCTATGTGCCTATTAAACTGAAGGCTGAGCCCAAGGCTCATTTGACATTACATGCCAACACTATGCTTGGCATATTGCAGGCACGCAGCCAGCGTAGGCTAAAATTAACGAAGGAAGGAGCAAAGGCATGGTTAGTTAATACCCTAACCTTTAATGGCATCCTCTCTTGCTAGATACCTCCCAAAGCACGCAGATTGCTTTGCAACTATCGACTCGACATTACTTAGACTGAAAAAAATAAAATCTCTATGTTGAAATGGTGGAGCTGTCTCTAGTCACACACCCACACAGATGCTCAAACAGGAACACTTCTTACTTAGTGTTCGCCTCTGTACATTTCCAAAATCATTTGCTCTCTTATTGTATTAATCTTCCAATACTATCCCACATTAGAATTGCCTTTTTTCCTGTTTAATAAGTGGGTAAGGAGGGCGGGGAAACCCAATTCAAGTAACTTACTCTCCTGTGGCCGAAACATTGCTGGCTTGAGATACATGGGCACTGTGGGAAAGAAACAAAGAGAAAGAACGTCAGATTAGACAGAGGGCCAGAGACTAAACCAAACATCCGAAGGGGATCCCAGGCTTAAAGCATCAGCCAGGCCCTGAGTGACCCTCTGTGCTGTTTAACCATTCCCTTGATGGATGCTGATTTTCACTTGTTTCTAGAATGAGAGATGGCCCTGGGGATTTATTCCTAACAGTATTTTTTTCTCCATTTTAAATATGCTCCTGAGAAGACAATTTCACAAGTGATCTTTGAAAACTCTCTCTCACCCTACTGCCATGGTCTTAGTTGAGGGTCTGTTTATTTTCCCCCAACCGTTAATGTCATTACTGCTGACTGCTTCCTGCTACCCACTCTGCCCATTCCCCGCTGTGCCCTTCTGTCCCCTCCTTGCCCATCTCTTGAGGACCTGCAGACAGAAGCATCTTTCTAAAACTGCTCTGGACATGCAGAGAGCAGCAGGGACCCTCGGAATAGAGGACAAGGAACCAACATTATTTTCTACTTGACTATTTCTTTTTCTTTTTTGTTAATCTTCACTCGAGGATATTTTTCCATTGCTTTTCAGGGAGAGCGGGAAGAAGGGAGGGAAGGGTGGAGGAGAGAGAGAGGCGGGCAGAGAGACAGAGAAGGAAATATCGATGTGAAAGAGACACATCGACTGGTTGCCTCCCATATGTGCCTGGCTGGGGGCGGGGAGCACCCCGCGACCCAGGCACGCGCCCTCGACTGGGAATCCAGCTGGCAACCCTTTGGTATGTGGGCGGACGCTCTAACCACTGAGCCACACTGGCCAGGGCTGTTCACGACTATTTCTAAACCACCTTTTCTAAGCCATCTCTCCTTCCTAAATTCTTCAAGATAGACAATAAGTCAAGCTTTAAAATATTTCATCTTAACACCTGATTTACAGCTCTTTCGCTGAACATTTCTAACCTTCCTCTACTTTCCCATTTTCCCTAAAGCCTGAATTCCTTTGAAAGTATTAAAAAGTAGTCAACGTAAAGTGGAATGGTGAAATTACAGAATGCTATCTGGTTAGCATCCTTCATAACTTCGCCCCCTTGCCTGCACTCTGCTCATATAACCCCAGTGAGGGGGTGAGGCTGGCAGCTGCTGTGACGCTATCACCACCACATTCACATTCTTGCCTTCTAGCGCTTAGTCAGCTTCTACATCAAGGTTCAAAAGTATCCATGCTTAAAAAAGAGATTAAAAAATCTTTATTGCATGCCAAGTTAATTTTGCCTAATAGATCTGTTCTCTCCCTTTTTCCTTCTTTGTAGAAGACACACAAGAAATAAAGGGTGTTAAGGATCAATATTGATGGTTGCCTTTCAATCACTTCAAGCATCCTAATTTTTATGGTATAATTTTCAACATATGAACATGCTGCTTTGGAATCATCTGTTGGGTTTTTCTTTCAAGTACGTGTGTATCTCGTCTCTTGCAACTCAGAATCTAAGCGCCTCAAGGGGCTGTATGATATTTCTCATTTTCTCTCATTAGACTCCCTGCCACTACCACCACCATTGCACCCAGCATCGCGCTCGTTATGTCAGAGGTGATCAACAGACACCCACTCCAGCTCCAGAGAATTGCCTTTGGTTAAAGCTGCCGCTTTTTGTCATGGCCACAGATCATAATCAAATTCCAGAAAAACCACCTAAAATAATGTTACTGTGCACAAGGGATACTGATGAGAAGAATCTTAATTAATAAATGAATCAATGAACAAACATACAAATGTACACCCTGACACCTATCAAGTGTTTACCATGTTTCAGACACTATGCTAAGTATTTTTATAAAGATTTTCTCATTTGCCCTTTACAATAACCCCATGAGGTGGGTGCTACTGTTTTCTTTTCCTTGTTTTCAGATGAAGAGGTTAGAGAGGTTAAGTAACTTGCCCACAGTCATGAGCCAAGAAGTAAATGAATTGGGATTTGAACCAAGAAAATTTTAGCTCAGAGTCTGAGCTCTTAATCACTACACTAGACTTTTAATCACTCACTCGCTGGAAGAAAAACTCACCAGTCATCTTTGTATATGGGGCTCTGCATTTAGGTATTTTACTTTGCTTTTCATCACAACCATTTCTCCTCACAATGCCTGTCATTCACTGTGGCTTCCAGGTTATATAACCAGCAACAAATCCTTTGCTGGTCTGTCCTTAACTGGAACAGACAGTCCCTGTTTTGGATGCTTTGTGGCTCACCCTCTGTAAATTCAACACTGTATAATTAACTCCTGTACTCCGCTGCTCAATGCAGTTATACAACCTTGGTTTTGGGAGCAGGGACCAATGTGAACAATGACCGCGGGGAACCAGAAGAAGAAAAAGAACGTAGACCCGCTGGATGCTAAAAACATTCCAAAGACATACAGGTATAATTAGACAATTAGTCCCCAGGCCATTTCAGAATGAAGAGATGGATCTCTCCCTCCTTCTACACACTTTTAACCTGAACTTCTTTTTGCTTATTAAAGCACACACTGGTATTTTTATGTTCCTTTTTTTTTTTGGGGGGGGGGGGG